CCTCCTTCTTCACATAAGATACCTCTTGAGTGGTCCCGTCTGCAGGGTCCCCATAGCCCTCTGTGCTCTGCATGCAGTGGGGTGCTGTGGGGTGGTCTCTGTGTCAAATTGCTCTGATTGGTCAATAAATAAGACACTGATTGGCCAGTGGCCAGACAGAAAGTATAGGCGGGACAAGGAGAGAAGAGAATTCTGGGAAGTGGAAGGCTGAGTCAGAGAGACACTGCCTGCCACCGCCAGGACAAGCAGCATGTGAAGATGCCAGTAAGCCATGACCACATGGTGAGGTATAGATTTATAGAAATGGATTAACTTAAGATGTAAGAACTAGATAGCTAGAAGCCTGAGCCATTAGGCCAAACAGTTTAAACAATATAAGCCTCTGTGTTTACTTGGTTGGGTCTGAGCGGCTGTGGGACTGGAGGGTGACAGAGATTTGTCCTGACTGTGGGCCAGGCAGGAAAACTCTAGCTACAGTGGGGATGTGGGTGTGACAGACTCTTGGGATGCTGGTCTGCTCCTCTTTGTCCACTGGCATCCCTGACAGGTTGAGTAAGGGCTGTGTGGTGAAAAGCAGCTTCAGCCGAAACTGAGTTCTCTGACTCAGTTTCACCAAGGGCATTTGCTCCACCATTACCATACAGAGGGAACAGAAAGGTGGAACCAAAATACCAGACAGAAACACGAGGCTTAGGTGTGCGGCAGGTGTGGCTGTGGCAGAAGCAATCTAAAAAGTATCCATGATTCAACAGCCCAACCTCCAGGGCACTGGGGCAGGACGATTTTCTCTTCTGTGTTCAGCTTCCGCCTTGGTCAAGACTGCAGGCCAAGGTAACAGAGAGAGCAACCAAAAAGGTGAGCAGCCAGGGTTTCTCAGAGGCCCTGCTCAGGCTCCAGAAGGCTGTGCAGGGCTGTGGTGTCTTTCAAGGTGTGCTGAATTACCAAAGGGGAAAAAGACACCTACTTGACATTAGCCACTGGATCCTTGGCCCCCAAGAGGTGGATCTGAATGGTGCTTAAGATGCAGAGAAAGACAGAGTTCACCGGGAGGGGGTGAGGTGGGGTGGTTGTGCATGGAGACAGCAGAGGGGATTCTATTGAAGACCAAGGGAAGAATGAAAGGTACCATGTTCTGGGGAATTATGCTCTTTGTGATTTTAAGTTAGATAGTGGAATTGTCACAAATGCCAAGGTTGCAAAGGAAACCATGCACAATATGAACCATCTTATTAAGTTAGGATTTGGTGGCTCAAATCTGTGATCCCAGCACTCTGGAGGCTAAAACAGGAAATGTCAAGTTTGAGGCTAGCCTGAGCCACAGAGAGTTCAGAACGGCCTGTGTTACAGAGAGAGACCTGTTCCAAACAGACACACATGCGTGTACAAACACATACACATACATACACATACACACAGCCTTACTTCAGACTCAAGGAGAAACAAGAATGTAGCATGAATTGTTAGAAGGTCTTATTAATAAAATCAAACCTGGAACCAGGTATTGGGATGAACGCTGGAAGATGAGAGAAGCAAAACAAGCTACAGCTTCCTCACACCTCGCCAATTCCTCAGCTGATCCTGTTTCCTCAAACTGGAAGCCTCTGTGTCCTCATCCAGATGAATCTCAGCTGAACTGCTGCTAAAAGCCTAAAAGCTTAACCAGACTCTAGTTCCTGGTCTTCACGCCTTATATACCTTTCTGCCTCCTGCCATTACTTCCTGGGATTAAAGGCATGAGTCACCATGCCTGGCTGTTTCCAGTGTGGTCTTGAACTCACAGAGATCCGGATGGATTTCTGCCTCCCAAGTGATAGGATTAAAGGTGTGAGTGCCACACCATTTTCTGGACTCTATGTCTATCTAGTGGCTGTTCGGTCCTCTGACCCCAGATAAGTTTATTAGGATACACAATATATTGGGGGACACAATATATCACCACACAGGAACAATTACTCTCCATGGAGAAGCAGAACAGGCACATCTTGTGAGAGAATGGAGCACCTCTGAGCACGCTGGAATGAGAAGGGTGCCCAAGAAGAAAGGCTGTAATTTTAATCACCAGGGTTGGAACATATCTGGAGAAAGGAGTTGGCACTTGGCTTTAAAAGAATTCCTGTTGGAGTTCCTATCCTGATAAAGACGTTAAGACATGTGGATTACCTGACCAGTCCTTCTATTCTGTAACACAGAAGACTTGGAATTGGTGCCTGGGTGTAAAGCTGTACGGTAGGGCTGAGGAGATGGCTCAGTCAGTAAACTGCTTGCTGTTGCAAGCATGAGGAACTGAGTTCAATCCCCAGAACCCACATTAAAATGCTGGGCATTGAAGCATAAGTTTGTAATCCTAATGCTGGACAGGTGGAGAGAGGTGGGGCCCTGGGGACTCCCTAGTCAGCCAGCCTAGCCTAATTAATGAGTTCTGGGCCAATGAGGGACTCTGACTTAAAAAAAAAAAAAAAAAAAAAAAAAAAAAAAAAAAAGGTAGAGGATAACTGAAGAAAACACCTGAGGTTGACGTCTGGTCTTCAGACATATACACAAGAAAGGGTACCCTTTTAGTGTGTAATTTACTCAAATAGCAGCTTGTGTGCATAGGAAAGGAAGATAAGCATCCTTTCTAAGACACGGTGTCCAGGAGATGAATTTAAGAAAGGTTGTTGGCTTCCTAGTAGGCCAGCTCTATGGCACAGCTCTGTACCTGGTCATCTTGTGTGGGAGGATGCCTTTGTTAAAAGCTAAGGACATACCACAGCTAAATACAACCTGCAGTGAGTAGGCGACTGGTGCTCCGACTAAGGCCTGCAGGTCACTAAAGCAACCGTGTCAGTGCTGGTTTTTGTGCTCAGGAACTGTACTAAGAACATACAAGGAGTTAGCATCGGGGAAGCTGGCACATGGGAACTCAATATTCTTGTGTATTTTTAAAAACTCAAATTATTTCAAAATAAAAATCATTTAAGATATCTCCCTGCCCCCCCCCACACACACACAAAAAAAAAATCCCTTATTTCCCCCTTTCCAACAAGTATAGATAAGAACTCCTGGGCATTCAAAACAATAGCTTCAGGTCACATGTCACACTGTCTTAGAGTTCTATGGTTCAGGTAAGTATTATGACCAAAAGCAACTCAGGGAGGACAGGGTTTGACCGGCTTCTATCATCAGAGAGGACAAGGTAGGAACTGAAGCAGGGCCATGGAGGAATACTGCTTATTAGCTTGGTCAGCCTGCTTTCTTATACAACCCAGGACCACCTGTGTGGGGAGGGCACCACCCCCAGTGGGCCGGGCCCTCCCCCGTTAATCATGAATCAAGAAAATGCCCCACAGACTTGCATACATGTCAGTTTGATGGAGACGTTTGTTCAGATGAGGATAGCTTGTATCAAGTTGAAATCAACAACCACAAAAACAAACAACTAAAAAACCACCACCAGGTCAAACACTCGGCATTCTGAGCTGGTATCCTCCACGAGCAAAGGTGTTATTGTGTGTAAGAGCAGAAAGGCACAGATCATGTATGAATACACGGGTAAGGAACTGGGTCACAGTAGCATAAACAGCATTTAGACCCTTGGCAAATGTAACCGCCTTTCTCAGCCCTGATTCTTCACTTCCAAGCAGGTATTAAACACAGCTGAAATACTAATATTTTTGAAATGAATAATTGGTTGTTTAGTGTGAATTTTTAGTGATTAAGGAAAATGTTAAGTGAGAAAATGTTAAGTTGGAAGAGTTACAAATTAATATTGGACTGGTATCCCATTATGTTACAAATTAGGAAGAAAGTCATCAAAATGTTAGGTCATACAATTCAGAGCATTTCCCCAGAGCATTTCTACAGGGCATTTATATTTTCAACTTTATCCTCTTTTCTGTGTTCCAACTTTTCTAGTTTTCCTCTTGACACACACAAGCACTTACCCTATAGTTCACCCAAACACCTACACGAACTCACAAACACACACTCACACTACACTTGATCAGGTCTTGTCTGTGCCTGTCCGTTATTAGGGATCTCTCATTTCTCATCAAGAGAACCTAAATTTGGACCCCCAGAATGCACGTTAAGCCAGGCAGAAGCGCGCTTCTGTAATTCCAGCTCTTAGGGCGAGACGCTGTAAGGCCGAAAAGCCTAGCCCTAGAGTAGACGTCACAACAGCATGGAATGAAAACTCTGCCTCAAACAAGGTGGAGAGCCAGGGCCAGCGCCTGTGGTCCTCTGACCCCCGCATGTGAACACACACACACACAGGTTAAACAAAGACAATTGTATAGTCAATGTGAGTGCACTCGGTTGTTCACACCAGGTAGAGACCCATCTCAGCGAACATCTCAGAGTTTATCCAATGGTTGACACAGTTTATCCATGGCTGCATTTAAAATTGTTTAATGACAGAATGAGCCCTTAGAAACATCTAGTCCTCTAAGGTTAGTGTGACTTTAAATGAAAACCAGGCAACTCACAGTGCGCTTGAAACTTTTAAAACCCACAGGATTCGATTACACGTCCAGGGTTTAAAGGAGTGGGAGTGAACTTGAAGAGTTCTTAAGTCAGGATGTGTGCGCACCGCCCCAGCTAGGGGAAGACACAGGGTTTTCAGTGGCCGGTCTGCGGGGACAGGGCTCTCTAGCCCTTCACTGGACACCTAGCACGGAGAGCGCACAGGGGCCCGTCAGAAATCTGGAACCGGATCTGTCCGCAACCTTGGAAGGACCAGGGAGGCGTGATTCAGAGCCGGGTCCCGAGTCGTCAATCAGGCTACCGGGCGTCCTCCCCAAGTGTCTATCAGAGCCGCCGGGCACCCCAGGACCCCAGGCGTCAATCAGAACCGGCCCCGCCCCAGGCCTGACGCCAGCCTAAAGCCGGCCCACATCCCCCTGCCTCCGTGGCCCTCATCCTAGCAGAGATCCAGCCCCGCCCGGCGCGGTCGCATCTCTCTTCCCCGTGGGGGAGTCCCCCGCAGGTCCACCCCACCGGAAGCTCCCCTCCCCACTCACCGGCCGCCCACACAGCGTCCTCGGGGGCGGCCCCGAACAGAGAGAACCAGGTCCGCGGCGCTGAGGCGGGGCAGACTGGATGCGCGACCGGGGCGTGGCGCTTTAGGCCGCCAGGGGGCGTCAACGACCGGGTGGGGCGGGGCCTTCCGGCTGTCACTCAGTCCGGGTGGGCAGGGCCACGGTGAAAGGGCGGTGCCTCGGTCGTTGTAAATCGGGAGGAAATGGAGTAAAGTGTGCAGGGTGAAACCTCACTGGCTGTCGCTCGGGAGGGGGGCGTGTCCTCGGGGGATGGGCGGGGCCCTGAGGGCTATCATTTTGGTGGGGTAGGGCAGGGCTGAATGGGCGGGGCCGCGCCCGCTGCCACTGCGGAGAGTTGGGACTGGAGGGGGGGCTGCGGCGAGTGGGGCGGAGCCTCTCTTGGGGCGGGACCTGGCCTGTTGTCATTCGAACAGGGCAGAGGTGGAGCCTCGGCGGGAGGGGCGGGGCCTCGCTGGCTGTCATTGTGGTGGGATTGCGATGCGGACTCCCTGGCTAGCTCTGCCGTGTAGGGTAGGGAATGGAAGGGACTAGGCTCCTTAACGACGTCCTTTTCTTAATCTCTTAGATCAGAATCCAGTGTGAGCGCAAGTCTCGTCTTAGTTGTTCCAGGCGATGAGAAACTCAGACCCGATCGATTTATAACTGAAACCTTCAGGGATCCATGGGGTTCCTCATCCCCTTGTGCCTCCTAGAACTCTCCAGAAAACCTCCCACCTCTACCCTACGGCTCCACCCTCCACACACTTCCGGTTTCTGCCCTGACTTCCCTTGATGATGGACTGTAAGACAAATAAATCCTTTCCTTCCCAAGTTGTTTTTGGTCCATGTTTTATGTAAGCAGGCTAGGACAGGCATGAAACCTTGTCTTAATTATCCTTTGCGACATAACAAACCACCACCCAGAATTAGGCCTCTTCAACACCCCTTCCAAAGCTCCATTCTCTGTGGCTCCTAAGAGCGCCCCCTTTCCAGTCGTTCCCTCTAGAACAGTGGTTCTCAATCTGTGGGTCACCTTTCCGGATCAAATCACCCTTTCACAGGGAAGGTCTGAGACCACAGGAAAACACAGATATTTACATTATGACTCATAACAGTAGCAAAATTACAGTTATGAAATAGAAATGAAAATAATTTTATGGTTGGGGTCACTGTAAGGGTGGGTGTGGTGATATTTTAATTGTGCTGAAATGTGATTTTATTTGTATGTTAATAAATAAGGTTTGCCTGGAAATCAGAGGCCATTATTGAGCCAGGAACAGAAGTCAGGTGGTGGTAGCCCATGCCCTTAATCCGATCACATGGCAGGCAGAGTCTCTGTGTGGTCAAGGACACAGCCAAGCGTGGTGACAGAACCTTTAATCCCAGTACCAACCATAGAGACCTGGAGGTCTGTATAGGCAGGCAGGATGAGGAAATCATGTGGTTGGGTTTAGAGCCAATGAGAAGGCAGAACAGAAAGGCAATTAAAAAGACAAGTCAGACAGGAAGAAACTCTCTGGGGGGAAGCTACTGCTGGTGGTAAGCTAAAGCTAGATGGCTCTTGCTCTGATCTTTTTGGCTTTAACTCTGTATTTGGCTCTGTGTTTCTTATTTAATAAGACTGTTTAGAAATTTGTCTACAGGTGGGCGGCCCCCTCTGAGTCAGAACAGGCCACACTCAGACACCAAACTCTTAGCACAGGGGTGTGGGCGTGGGGACAGCAAACAGCAATATTAGCAGCAGCACAGAACCGATGTTTTTTGCAGGAGTGGATTTTCAAGGAGAAAAATCGAGAGACTGTGCTAGAGTGAGTTGGTAAGTCCTGACTGGACATGTTAGCCAAATAATGAATTTTGATTTTTGGACCTTGGTGTTTAGTCTCAGGAATAAGTCAGTGGCCAAATAAGGGAATGAATGTACTTTGGGAGCTAACTTTAGAAATGTAATCTAACAGTTTTTAGCAAGAAAGAGGGAGAGAGAAAAGGACAGAACCTGTCAGTACTACATTTGCCTTGCTCCGGCCTGTTAGAGTTCTTCAGCGACCACAACTGAGGAACTGTAGTAAACCCAGGGGCTGTAGCATAGGAAGCGGAGAGCCGCCGCTCTAGAAGGACAGTTTTTCTCCCCCTGTCTTAGGTGTCAGCTTCTTGACCAGGCAAATCTCAGAAAGGAAAACCCTGAGTAGTTCCCAACACTTTATCTTGCTCCCAGCAACCTTGTCTCCTTTCATTGTGGTGGATGCTAAGGTTTCCTCAACTTGTTTTCTAATCATTTCTGATTGGTAGTTCCCTTTCAGCCAGCCTTCTGATCAAAGCCAGCAGGTAGTAGAGAGGAAGGAAAAAAACAAAATAACAAAGACAAAAAAAAATGAAGAAACTCATCACCCCACACTTCCGAGTCCCTGTCCAGTCTACCTGCCATCATTTACGTCGTTACTGTTGTATTTTACCAGATGCTTTAGCAATAAAGCACAGGCTGCAGTGGGCGTCCTCTGGTTTGGTCAGAAGTGAAATCTATCAATCCAATTAAAGAATGTTTTAAGGGCTGAGGAGATGGCCTAGCTCATAGTACTTGCCACACAAGCATGAGGACTTGAATTCAATCCCTTCACTCACATGAAAAGCTGGGAGTGGCAATACATGCATATAGTCTCAGCACAGGGGAGGCGGACACAGGAGAACCTTGGGCCTTGCTAACAGCCAATCCAGCCAAGTCAGGAAATCCCACGTTCACTGAGAGACTGTCTCAAAAAATAAGATGGTGAGTGAGTGATGTTGACATCTGGCCTCCACAAGCATACACACAAACACAAGTGCACAGACAGGCATGAACACACACACACACACACACACACACACACACACACACACACACGCTCATAAAAATATAGGAGTAAAAATTTAAACAATGTTTTAAGTTACCTTTCTTTTATTTCAGGTTAATAACATCTCCTAATGTGGGGATATTTGAATTTCATTTTGTATGAATTTTCTGTACAGTGTGCCCAATTTTCTCCTTAATTATAAAATTTTTTACAGAAGAGTAAAAAGTCCTTTTTCCTCAATACAAGTGTCAGTGTTTCCTCCGCTCCTGTCTTCTGAGTTCCCCTGTGCTGACTGAGCATTTGGTTTTGTTTCTTGTGGGTGCAGGTGTTCTCCATTTCTAAGTAGCCAATCTTATCAGTTCATTTTCACCTTCTCCTGCTGTTACAAAGGCCTTTGCTGTGGGGTGTGTGTGTGTGTGTGTGTGTGTGTGTGTGTGTGTGTGTGTGTTTATGGTTGGCACATGAAGTGTCCCCTACAAGGCTCCCATGGTGAAGGCCTGGTCCCCAGTGCAGCAGTATCAGGGGAGAACTTTAGGGAAGCCACTGTGTCATGAGATTCTGACCTACTGCATGAATGAATCTATGGTGGATTCATAGTTTGGTGGCAGTATTGGGAAAGACACAGATTAGGAGGTGGAGACTAGTTGGAGGAAGCAGGTAACTGGGGTCACACCCTTGAAAACTCCTCCGTGTCCCTGGCCCATTCCTGTCTCCCCCCTCTCCTGTTCTCTCCCTCTCCCTCAAAGTCAGGATTTAGATGGTGAATTGCCTGAGCTTGTACCGTCTAAAGCCATATTCTAGGCTCCACAATGGTCTTCTTGCTGGCAGGCTGACCAACCTACAAATGCGTGGTCTATGAACTTTTGTTCAGCCCTGCCCACATCCCTTCCACCTCTCATCTCTGCCCTCTGGCTTAGACTTGCTTGCCACCCTCTCCTCCAAGCTCTCTAACATGGAAGGTCCATCAGCCTTCTCTGAAATCACCAACTGTGAGCATACCCCTTGACTGCCAGCCAGCCCGCCCGCCCACTGGGACCACTCCCTCTGCAGTTTGTGTGGCTTGAGTTTCACCTTGTGATGCCAAAAGTGGTGTTTGCTCTTCTGTTTCTCAGTGTGCTTATTCCTTCTGGATGGTTTCTAAGAAAAATGAGAAAAATTGTCTAATATCCATCCTTCTCAAGCTGCCATTTCCAGTTCTATAAGTTGGGGTTTTACTAGGAAAAATTGAGGCAAGAGTTCTGGCTTTTTCAAAGTTTTTATACTTGGCATACACATCCTAATACATTTTCCCCCTATAGTTATTTTAAAATATCTTCATCATGTAAGAATGACTCACTAAATAACCTCTGGCTGTCTCCAGCATGGGAACTCAGATCCTACATGACTTCCAGCTTGCCTCAGTCCAGACGGAGCCCTTAATTTCTTTCAGCAGCAACAACAACAACAACAACAACAACAACAACAAAAAATGTCTCTTAGAGAAATTTGCAAAACCGAGCCCTTCCTCAAGTGCAGCACTCATAGCTGCAAATTAAACAGGTTCTTTGTCTGTCTTTCTTCCTCTTTCTCTGTGTCCCAAGAAGCTGGCTCAGCCCATGGACCACAGTGGTTTCCTTGTCCTCTGCCTCTGGATAGGTTTGGTTGCTGAGGCATGGGCAGGGGACTGGGTAGAAGTAGGAGGAGGTCACAGGCTTCATTATTTGGCTCTCTCTGTGCTGAGTCACTGCAGGCTGGTGAGTTGGCTGTGTCATCCACAGAAGGCCATAGCTGTGGCCAGGAAGTCTTCCCTATGGTTGAGTAACTCTCTTGCTCCTTGGCTCTAGAGCTATCATGGTGGTGACTCCCGGCCATCACTAGCATCTTAGTCATTGTGCTATTGCTGTGAAAAGACACCATAACCACTGCAACTCTTATAAAAGAAAGCATTTAACTGGGGCTTGCTTACAGTTTCAGAGGTCCATTGTCATCATGGTGGGAGCGTGGTAGCAGGCATACATGGTGCTGGAGAAGTAGCTGAGCGTTCTGCATCCAGATCTGCACTTTGCAAAAAGAGAAAGTGATAGTGGGCCTGGCTTGAGCATTTGAAACGTCAAAACCCACCCCCAGTGACACACTCCTCCAACAAGACCACACCTCAGAATCTTTTTTATCCTTTCAAATGGTGCCAATCTCTGGTGACTAAGCATTCAAGAATATGATCCTATGAAGGCCATTCTTATTCAAAACACTGCAACAAGGTCAGATTACCAACCATGCTATATGGTTTCCCTGCATTCTACCCATGCCTTTTGGAATTGTGTTTTTAAAACTCTGCTTAAAGGGAACATACTTCTGTATGCTGCTCCGAACATCCTCCAGTATCTCGAAGTAGCTCTGTAGTTGTTACAGATCTGCCTCTTCCCAACATGACTAAGATGTGACTTAAAATTCCATTTGTAGTATTCATGTTTGAAAATCTTTGGATGGCATCAAGCAAATATTTTTTAAAATGAAAATTAGGGCTGAAGAGATGGCTCAGTGATTAAGAGCACCTGATACTCTTGCAGAGAACCAGAGTTTGATTCTCAGCACCCACATAAGGTAGCTCACAACAGCCTGTGACTCCAGCTCCAGGGAATCCAATTTCCTCTTCTAACACACCCATACACAAACACACATACACTTAAAAATAAATACGTTTTAAAGTGAAAACTTAGGACTAGGACATAGTCCAGGCAGAAAAGTATTTGCCTTTCAAGTGTGAGGACCCAGTTCGTTCCCATAACTCACACCAAAAAGAAAAGAGATGAAAAAAAGAAAGAAAAGAAAAAGACAAAGAAAGAACTTGGCCTGGTGCTGTGGGTTTATAATCCCACACCAAGAAAGCAGAGAAAGATAGATCCTGGCCCATGACCAGCCAGTGTAGCATGTTAGAATTCCAGGCAAGTGAGAGGCTCTATTTCAAAAAACAAAACAAACAAAATAACAACAACAACAACAAAAAAAAAAAAACCACATTTCAAGTTATGGCCTCCACATGCACACATACACACATGTGTATCTGTGTACACATGAACATGCACACACATGAACCCACATATAACACACAATATAAAATAAGGTTCTAGAGAGTGATGGATAAAAAGTCTATATAAATAGCAATGTTGGTGGAGAATTACCATTCTGATTATACAAATTTACATTTAAAATGTAACACCTGACAGTAACCTTTAAACCAAATCAATTATAGTCAAATATTTTGCACAATGTTTAAAATGTCTCAACAGATCAAATAGAAATAAGTGGGAAAGAAGATGACCTTTAAATTTTCATTAAGGTTTTTTGATGTTTTGCATGTCGATATTGAGGAATGAAAAACAGAAGCTTATTTTCATATTTTAAAGATCTGTTCCATCTGTCTGGAAAGGAAGAATGCAAATTCTTTGCATCCTCCTGTAGTGTGGAACGCAAACCCCTCTTTGTTAGGATGGAGTTGTATCATGTAGGTATCTTTAATATCTGGCTAAATGTGCTACTTTAGTTCTGCTGTGTTTTGACTAAAAGCCTATACCATAGAGTAATACCTGTTTCTCATTTATGGAATAACCAAAGACACATTTTGGTTCCAGTTGCCTTTTCAATTTCTTATCTTAGCAGGGAGCAGGCTAAATGGCTTATGGCTCTTTCTCATCCACACATTTCTGGGACAGAGCCATTGGAGTGATAGAATCCTCCTGAGATTGCTCACCTGAGGAGAACCGCACATTGTCAATGCTGGGTTTCGATTCCATGGGTAACTTAGCTAGCAGAGTCTGCTAATCAGTAGGGCCAAGGACCATACATGGTTTGAAATTTTATTCACTTGTGAGTTAACAAGTTAGTCTGTCTCAGCTTCATAGATGCTGTCAAAAGGCCTGAGTGGGCAACTGGGTCAGAGACGAAGGACACTCTCACCTTGTTGGTGGCAGTCACCAATGTGCTTTGTGATAGTGGTTCCTGTATTGCCCATGGGGTCACAAAGAGCATCTAGGCAGCTTCTCATATTCATCCTGTTGGCTGTAACATGGACAGATGCTCAGTTCCATGCTGTCATCCTCAGCAGAAGACTTCTCTTATTCTTTTAGGAACTGTATGCAAACTGGGATTTGTGGCTTTGAAACAGAAAAGAATTGCAGAATTAGCCAGTGGGAAGCAGAGTTGGAGTTTTATTAAAATTAGAAAAGGCTCAAGAAATGACTGATAGGCTCTAGAGTCACATAGGAGACAGACCTTGGGTGTGTCTGTGAGGGATTATCTAGATTAGATTAATTGAGGTGGGAAGCCCCATCCTAATTGGGGACAGCACCATCCCATGGCTGAGGAGGAATAAAAGGAGGAACTGAGTTGAGTGCCAGCATTCATTTCCTTCCCTTCCTGACTGTGGATGCAGTGTGACCAGCACCTCACATCCCTGTCACCATCACTTCCCACCATGATGGACTGTACCCTCAACTATGATCCGAAGTTTCTTAAGCTGCTTTAAAATTTTTCAGTTATATATATTTTTAACCATAGGACTTTGTTCAGTAGCAGCACAGTGTGGCTGGGTGATAGGCCGATGCTGGGGTTCAACAGACAGCAGTTGCTTATGTGGGAAGGATTTTGTTCCAATGACAGGAAAAGTAGCTGACACATCACCTTAGTTTTTGTTGTTGTTTTGTTTTTTAATTAAAAGACATGAAAAGGAACTCTGTCACCATTTTCCTCTTGCAGTCTACCTGCTTCATTCAGAGACTTTCAGATTTCCTTCATCCCCTGCTGATGACCACTCAGAGAGAAGAGTTACATCACACAAGCTGAGTATGGTCTAGGGATCTGGGGCATACACAGCCATTCCAGGAAGAGGACCCACGTGCAGGGACCCAGAGAAGAGTCCATGGAGGGTGGTGAGGAAGGGAGGACCTTGAAGTGGGTGCTGAAGCCAGGGATGTGTGCAGCAGCCTGATCTACACTCCTGCAAAGAGCAGGGAGCCTGTGAGGCAAGCTACTCAGCACTGGGCAACCTTCTCACTGGGACCTCCTTCCTTGCTTCACTGAGCCTCACTGAACATCCGAAACCCAGCCCAAAGATCACACAGAACAATTGAGCTTTTTCTTACCCTGTGTTTTCTGCTTCCTTTCCCTCCCCTGAGCCTCCAAAACTGAAAATAACTGGTTTCTATCTGGGTTGAGAAGCCGCCCCACCCCAAGAGCAGCCAGAGAATCAGGGCTAAGGGTAGCTCCCTGGTCCAGCATTTTATTCTCATTGAGCACCAGGGTGGAGTGGTTACTCCCAGTATGAAGCTCACTCTTAAGTCAGAGATAAGAGATTGACTCTTAGATGCCCCCATTTTATGGGGGCTAAACCAGCTCAGCTCACCCCTGCACCTACTGATTTTTATCCTTTGTGTCAACCAAAATGACAGAACAAAAGATAAAATAAAATCAGCACCATTGGATGGTAAGCCTGGAGCTGCCACTTGTTTTGATTATATTATACATTTAAAATTATTAATGAGATAACTTTTGGAACTCAAGCTCAAATTATGCTTGGCGAGAATGGTTTCTTTTCCATAATGAAACATTTAAGTAATGCTTGGCTAATTGGACTACAAAGTATTCATTCATAACCTTCCAGTTCTTACCATAACAGAGATGAATTAAGAGGTCAGCAAGAAACTGGTGTAAGCTGAAACCACATTTTTTATGTAAATCTTTGTTGATCACAACTGAGGGGAAAGTTAAGGGAGAAGCTTGCGTGTGATATTTTTATACAATGCTAATAAAAAGACTATAAATTTGAAAATTTTGAATCATAAGTACTCATTTGAAAGCATATGTCATTGTGGTGTGATTTTTAGCTGTCAAAAAATCAAAGCAATTAACACATGTCATGTGGGATACTCAATCTGCTCGATGGGATATGAATGGGATATTGTGACAAACCTTACTATTCATGAAAATTGAATTGTATATTTAAAAGGTAAAAGTGCTTAACTCACAAGTGTCCAGTGACAACTTGATGATTTGTGGGTCTGAGTCCCATGGAAGTGTTTCTCCTCAGCCTGTTGAGGAGGGATTCATAGGCTGTACTGCTGTAGGACAGCGCCCCCAAGTGGAAGGGTGAGCGCAGTGTCGCTCCAAACAGTTACTGGAGCTTTACAAAAACTCTCCTAGATAAAGCAACTTAACAGCATGTATATGATTGCTTTACAGAGTTCCTGAGACTCAGGACAGGATGACTCAGCGTGGTGCTTCAGGCTGAGTCTTTCCCACCCAGACTATGACCTGAGGCTGCAGTTGCAGGAGGTTGGGGGTCTGATCACGCAGTGGCTGGCACACATGACTGACAGCTCCAGAGTGGCCACTGGATACCCATGACATAGCAGCTGACTGCCCGCAGAGGGAGAGAGAGGAGAGAAAAGGCCACTGGATACCCATGACATAGCAGCTGACTGCCCGCAGAGGGAGAGAGAGGAGAGAAAAGGGGAGAAGCTCTGGGAATTGTAATGATTTTGAATCAGCTAATCCTCAAGTCACACAGCATCATTTCTGCCTCTTTCCCTTTGTTAAAAACAAATTAAGTTCAGCCCACATTCCAGCGCTCCACTATTTGAAGAGAGTGCTAAAGACTGGCATTTCAAATCACGGCTGTAAGGCAGTGAAGTTAGACACAGATGACGCTCCATTTACACCTTTCCCTGTTCAAGGGGCTGTGATTCTAATGTCAGATCCCAAAGCCACACTTCTCAAAGAAGCCAAGGAATCGGATGTGTGCTGAAGACAGACAACTCTGCTTTCATAAAACAGAATCTGATGTGCAGGGCTTCCTGAACAGGAGGCACTGTCATGGCAGCCCTGCTCCTACAGAGGACATTCATGCATTGTCGGCACAACTGGTTGAACTCATGGTAGTGTCGTTGGTCCAGACAAGCCTTGTGCCAGAACTGGGCTTTCAGAAGTTATGTACTGGGACAGAGTGGAATGGCAAGAAGAGAGGATTTACAGGGACTTAGGAGCATTCCTGGGCTGCACCTCAAGATGAGCCTCTGGATGAAGCTTCACCATCACCTGAGGCTGTCCTTTGACCTCCAGACATCACTGGCCTGTGGGCATGATGGCTAATCTTGGTTGTCATGCTGACATACCTCAGAAGAAGGAACCTCACCTGAAGAACTGCCTCCCATCAGACTGGCCTGTGGGCATGCCTATGGAGCGCTTTCTTAATTGCTGATTGCTCACCATCCCTAGGCAGGTGGGTGTGGGCTATATAAGAAAGCTACCTAAGTAAACAAGAAGAACCAAACCATTAAACAGAGTTCCCTCCATAGTCTCTACTTTCAGTTCCTGCCTCAGTTTCCCTTGATGATGTAAGTTGAAATAAACCCATCTGAAAATCCCTTTTGGTCATGCTGTCTATTACATTAACAGAAAGCAAACTAGAACATACCCACACATACCCCACACACAAAGAAAGAGTGAAAACAAAATGTAAGATAAAAGTGTACACCAGCTTTTATTGTGGGAAGAATTTACATAACGCTGCCCCATCTGCTCCAGTAAGTCTACTGTGGTGTTTCCAAACCGGCATGGAACCCAGCACAAACAGAGGCATCTGGCCACTGTTGACTGAATCAGAAAATCACCTGGGGATGTGTTGGGGGCGGGGGAGGACGGGACAGAGTGCTTTCTGCAATGGATCCAGCTCATTTCTCATCTTGCATCAGCATCCCAGTGTACCAGGTTTTCTCTTTTGGGCCACCAACCAGCTCCCAAATCATGACATTGAGACTTCTTAGTTATGAATGCTCGGCCTAGCTTAAGCTAGTTTCTAGCTAGCTCTCTTTAACTTAAATTAACCTGTTTCTCTTTATCTAACTTTTGTCTCTGGGCTTTTTACCTTTCTGTCTGTCTTACTTTCCTGCTGTCTCCATGTCTGGCTGCCTAGCAGCTGCCTGGCTTCTGGTCCCAGGCCTGTCCCTCTCTTTCTCCCTCATTCTCTTCCTTCTTCTCTCTCCTCTTATTTATTGTCTCTGCCCACCAGCCCACCTGTCACTCTCCTGCCTAGCTATTGGACGTTTAGCTTTTTATTAGACCAATCAGTTGCCTTAGGCAGGCAAAGTGAAACAAATGAAACACACCTTTACACAGTTAACACAGTTAAAATAACATTCTATAGCATAAACAAATGTAACACCTCTACATAGTTAAAACAGTATCCCATAACACCCCAGTCAGCAGGCGCCTCTCCCTCCAGGTCTCTGCACAGGAATTTTTGTAGACTGCCAGAGACTCTAGGAAGTTCACTTTCCACTTTTTTTCTCACCATGTAGTAAAACGTAAGTTCACATTAACCCAGTCAAGGCATGAATTCTTTCACCAGTAGCATTCTACAACTCAGAACTTCTTCAAAATATGTTTTTCTATTCTATTGCCACATTACAATGATAATTAATGTCCAAGTGATGACCTTGAAGGTCTGTCAGACTTGAGAAACCTAATGAATAATTAAGACAATGAAATGGTTTTCAATGAGATTTCATGCTTAGTGAGTTTTGGATTCTAAGGTTTTTGATGGACGGTCACGGATGGTTGTCTAATTCCCCAGTCATGCAAGTAAACAGATTTGCTTGTTTCAGAGGCACAGCCACGGTGTCGTCTGAGATGTAATACACATCCAGCCAGTTCTAGCATGGCTCCAGTCACAGCCGCAGGGAGGTGGGAATGGCTGGAACCACCTACAACCTTGTAGATTGGAGAACAAATATTTGTTGACAAGGCATAATCAAAAGCATAGTATTTTAATAGTAGTTGAAATGATCTAGCAATTGAAATTAAGAATGGTTATAAAGCACATACCAAAATATTGTTCTTAAAAAAATACTTCTGTTTATTTGTACATGTGTGCCTGTGTCTGTGCCACATAAGTACAGGTGCCTTGGAGTACAGAAGAGGGTGTTGGATTCCCTGGAGCTGGAGTTGTAGGTGATCATGAGCAACACAATGTGGGGGCTGGGAACTGAACTCAGGTCCTCTGCAAGAGCATCAAGCTATTAACCACTGAGCCATCTCTCCAGCACCACTCTTCCCCCAAATACTGTTCTTTGCATTAAGGAGCCATATGTTGAGCTTTCCTGGACTGCAGGGTTCTTTTCCTACTGCAGGTACCATCTCATAGTCCCTCTTACTGCTCCTGTTACTGGCAGACATGTTGCCCAACTTGGAGAAAGTTGCAAATCACTGTTTACAGAGGCAGAAAATCAACTCTCACACCCACATTTGACAGATGAAAACTAAGGTCCAAAAAGGTGCAAGACTTGCCCTAAATCTATGTAACAAGCCCATCACAGGGCCCTATGACATTGTTTCCCAATCCCCAAGCAGAGGCCTTTGTGTACTGTAACGCAAAGCTAGTGCAAAGCTCTCCACCCACCATAGCCAGAGGAGCAAAAGGAAAAGTTAAAAATGCTGGGAAATGACATTTCAATGAAGCATTTAACTGATCAGGCTAAAGTACCACTGGTTCATTAAAAATAACCCAATTGAAGTATGCCAAAAGCCTTTAGCAGATCAGCACCTGCCTGGAGTTGTTCACCTTGAAGGTCTCTGCATTTCAGGGCTAGAGAGGAGGCTCAATGGTTAAGAGCACTGGCTGCTCTTCCAGAGGACCTGGGTTTGATTCACCACCCCACATGGCAGCTCACAACCACCTGTAACTCCAATTCCAGGGGATCCGATGCCCTCTCTGATCTCTGTGGACACCAGGCATGCATGTGGTCTGTAGACATACATGCAGGCAAAACACCCATACATATGAAATAAAAGTAAAATTTAATGAGAAGGTTCTTTATATCTCAAGGACTAGGAACACGGACATTTAGGTCTTCCCATAGTGTTCTCTGGGCTCCACCTTCAGTTGGAGGCCATGTGTACGAGAGAGTGTGTGCACCTCAGGTTTGCGTGCCGACTCAGGTCACACCAAGCACAGGGCATGGGCTGGTTTGCTTGCCGCTCACCCACATCCACAGTGCAGCTGAGCCACTGGGAAATTGATCCTTCACAGCTCAACACACATCTCCTAAAGGCAGGGACGTGTTTATTGGTGAGGAATGGCACTTTGACATTAAGATCTGCAGTGAGGTGTGCTGCCAGCATGCTGCCCTTCCAGTGGACAGGTCTGAGAAAAGCAAACAGCCTTTAAAGAAGATGGTTTTGTGTAGAACAACTCAATTCAAATAATGGCTTATTCTAACCTTGTCTTACACTTATTTAGGTCAGAAGACAGCTTGAGGACTTTGTTCCATGTGGGTTCCCTTGAGTAAACTCGGGCTTTAGCCGTGGCCCCAAGTGCCTTCACCTGCTGAGCCATCTCACCAGTCCCTAATATTTGGGTTTACAGTTATGCACCATTTCTTCCAGTTCTGAGTTACATATATCTCTACTAGTTTATAAACTTAATACTGTATTAACAATAAATAACAAAAACGCCTTGGGTTCATTTATCCTTAGACCATCCCCTGCTGAGGTACATAACAAGACTTCTGAAATAACTTTTGTCTGTTAACTGTTGCTGCCACATTTGAAATGAAGTTAGGCTCATTTGTACCAATTTGTTTTCCATTTTAGGATTTTATTTTTAAGTTGTGAATATATTAAATGTTTGCACAGTGCCAAAGTTAAAAACTGAGCAAAAAGGTAATCAGGTTCAGAGATGTCACTTCCGACCCTCTCCCCCAACAGCCTCCATCTCCACAGGAAATGTTTTTAGTGGAAATGCCTAAATGTGTTCCTACTCTTCCCTTCCTCCCTCCAAGTTCTGCTGTGGGCTCACATTGTAAATCTAAAAGCGAGTTCTAGAGATGATGTGGTTCACAGATGTTTTCCTGTGTGTTTATAGGACAACCTGTGTGTCCTACAGTATGTCTGGTGCCTCACTATGACAAACAGCATTGCCTCACACAAACGTGCAAATAACTGGTTATCTCTGATGTATTTTCAGGATAGATTCCTAGAAGTGAAGTTGCTGGGGCCCATGCACATGTTCTTAGGTTTTTCCAAGTCTCTGTATTTAGTGGGGGTTCTGGGAAGGAAAAGTTTGTTATCTCATTGCAGGGATAATTATTCCTCCCATGTCTTTACCACGAAGCTCTCCATTTTTAAGAACTCTTTGTGTTCTTGCTCCATCTGTGAGGTAATTTGCAAATGTTGTTTCTTGTCACTT